TCAGAGTATGAATTCTTGAAAACCTCATTTCAGCCACCCATTTCAAAAGATAGGCACCCTACTTCATGCCTGGAATGGAAAGTGATGGCCTTGGAGTTAATTAAAAAGGGCTGCAACTTAAGAGACAAAAATCTATCACCATAAGTTCATCATATGATAACATTTCACATACATTGGGCCTTGAAAAAACATGAGCAAGCAAACAGCAAAATGACCAAAAACTCGTATCAAAAAGAAGCTGGAAATCCCCCTGATTCCATTTTCAACACGGAAACTACGGGTGCTGATAACAGCAAATGTGTTACTGGAAAATACCAACAGCAGATTTTCTTTCTGTTGTGGTTTCAGAACAGTAAAATACAGCACAGACTTAACTTTACTTGAGGGCTTAACAGAAATCCTACTGAACAGCAACGGAGACTTAAAAGGGATTTACTCTGGTGCTTTTAGGTGTGCTGAGGACCAAGCTCTGCTGCTCGCTGAGTTCCCAGGGAGGGGGATTCACTGTGGAGCCAACAGCTGTGGTGGAGGCAACTGGCTTGAGAATTCAATCCATTGCATCGGGTGGGACACTTTGAAAATGGCTGCAGGGGTTTGGAAACACAAGTCTGAGATGTCACCTCGTCAGATTTATTTTTAGATGTTGATTTGCTGCCCTAACTCTTAGGGTTTATCTAAGAAGCCAGCCCCATAAGCTTTTCCTAAACTCTACAAGGACTCTGCTTTCACAGCACAGACAAATAAACAGCACTGTCACAGCGACACATAATTGTCTGCTTCTAATACATCAAACTTGACACATAACAAAAGGTTCTTGTGGCAATTTAAGCTATAACCTTGCTCCTTTTTATTACTTTAAATCTTTGCAACTCAAAACATATTCAAGTATTTAATTTTGGGGTTTTTTAAACTTCCTTAGTTCATTTCTTGAGTCGATCATTAACACTTCCAACAAGCAACTGCTTATGCTTTTTAGGCAGCACATGAAAGAAGGGGGATAGATATGCAGATAAACACTGTGCAAGCAACAAATATCTTCAAGGGATTGGCACAGTCAGAGAATGACCCACATCACCCTGGGCATGTCCCAAATGCCTCTAATCATCCCAAGGACATACTTTTGTCTGTTTATGGTGGCCTTGACGTTGCCACAACCTCCCCCAAAACAAACAGTGCTCCTTCAAGAAAACGCTCCTTAACAGCTCTGAGCAGAAATGTAAAGGCAAAGAAAAGTGCTGAGACCAGATTTGAAGAGCCTTCATTGTTTCTGTAGTGCAGAAAACATAGGAAGAAAATTCCAGATGAGGAACTGCATTAAAAAAAAACACCAACTGGGTGATCCCAAACCCCAAACTGGATATAAAAAATTGAACACGGGACATGGGTTTAGCAAGGTTGTGTGCAAGGAGGTCAGCCAAGGAGAGCTGAAAAGCTGAACAGCTGGTCTGTGTTGAGCTGAAACTCACAGATGGAAAGTAGAACCGATCAAAGGACTTTTCTCCTAAAAAAGAGGAGAATTCTAGAGGTAACAGTCCAGGTCTCCTGAATGCTAGAAAGAAACAAGGAAGAAAGAGAGGAGGCAGACACTGAGGGTCAAAGAGACTGATATGAGGTATGAGACCCAGACAGGGTCCATCCTGCAAGAGGCAGACACACAAAGGATGCAGGTGGTGGGATGAAAGAGAGCACTCAGACTGAGAGCAGGACCACTGCATTGAGCATCTACTCAGAAGACAACAGCTGAAAGCCTGAGATCAGAAATCCTGTAATTTCATCTGCAGAAGTTAACCATACTGGACTATGTGATTCCAAAGGGCAAAAGTAAAGAGCCACAAAAGAAAGGATGTACAGTGCATTGAAAGAAACTGGAAAAGAAAACAGATGAATAACACAGTTCAGTCTTCCTGGAAGATGTGTCACTGACCTCAGTACAAAGGCAAATTGGCTAAAATGTGACATGCTCACTAAATTCAAGTCAGCCTACATGACCTCATGTTCAACAAGAAACAATAACTGGAATTTGGAGGCAGGGAAAGCCAAATTAAATAAAGCCGTTTAAAAATTACAGTGACTGATATCCCCCATTTAAACAAACTATTAAAGAAAATAGCAAAAATCCCCATCAGTTGACATTTTGATATAAATACTAGAAATCTTTCTGAAAGATTTACTCTAGTCAAAACACGGTATCAGGTTTAATGAAGACACATCACATTTAACAGCTTTACAAAGTGGTCAGACAAAATGATCTAATATTACTTTCTGCCCTTAAAACCAATGACACCTCCCTCCCCTCCTCCCTTTTTTCTTTTTCCAGTTTACAAAAGGTAGAAAGGTTGGAGTGAACTGAATAAAGGAAGTACTGGCAGTGCTGCATTCTCCTTCAAGCAGAACCACAGGCACTACTGAAGCATCCACTAAAATTAAAGGAGAAAACCCTTTGGTCTGAGGCACGGAGCAAGCTGGGAACAGCCAGACTGCAGCAGTCATGGTCATTTGGACAGCCAGCCTTAATCATTTGAGGTGCAAATTGGACAAGAAAATAAGATCTTTTCTCAAAAAAATCCCCACTAAAGGAAAAAGCCTGGAGGCTTGTTAAAAAGGAAGCTGAAGTGTTTTATCCTGAATGGAAAAAGCCTCTAGTTGTTGGTTTGGTAGCAATCTTGTATGACCTTTAAACACTGTTCTCACAGTTTGCATTGTAAAAACAAAGTTATAGTAAAAAAAAAGGACCCAAACACAAAACCAACACCCTCAGGACCAAGTCCCAGTAACTCCCAACTGCAAACCTATCCCAGGACTCCCTGCTGAAAGAAATCTCTTCCTAACCCTATTTAAGCCTGTCTGTTCATATACAAGATTTCTTTAAACTTTTCTCCTTCCTCCACAGCATTTGCTATTTACAGTTATTTCCCCAGCTCTGCCTTCACTTCAAGCTGGAAAAGCCAAGTAACTCTGATTTCCTCTCACAGAAGCCCTACACACCATGGGTCATTTTGAGAGCCCATCTCTGCTGTGACTTCAGCTCGAGCTCAACTCTTGAAGATGCCTGACCAAAGTTACACAGCAAATGCTCCAGCTCCCGCGTAGCATCTCTAATTCGTTCTCAGACCTACCAGAGACCATGCCAGATGCATCTGCCACCACGCTGCTTCCTCCCAGAGCAGCAACCCATTAGTTCTACCATGGAAACACACTCACGGATCCTTTTTCTGACAAATTTTTCTTTGACTTGCAACTACTTCACTTTGCATTTGCACAACTGGCATCTTTCTGCCCACTCTTTGATACCATCTTGTGCAGGCTCCAGAGCCTCCTGCCATCCCACAGCCTTTCAGCCAGCAGCAGTTTTGGCACACTTGGCCTCCTTGGCCAAGACTCCTAATTCAAATAACGCCTCCAAAAGAAAATCACGTTCAAGGCAGGCACTTCGATTAACCTCCTCTTTCACCTTTCAGCACTGCCTCAGATCATCCATGGCCTCTGCTGCCATTGCCTCCACCACTTTTGTGTTTTCCCACTAACTGCACCTTCTTCTGTCTAAACTTTATTTAGAACATCCTTTACCAGACAGAGGAAATCTAATCACATTTCCACTACCTAGCAAAAGCAGTCATAAAAGATAGAAGGTTACTCCAGCATAGCGGCCTTTGTTTATTGTGGGATGCTTTTTCAATTAGTCATTTACTCCAAGTTTGGGTTTTTTATTAGACTTATTTTTTCTAAATTTAGCTTTTCAGACCATAACCCAGAAGTCAGTACCCATCAATATTGTCATTCCCTAGATGGCTTTCCTTTCTGAAGCAGGAAACCGGATTACTCTCCATCAGTCAGACCAACAGATAAGTCTCAAACAGTAGCATAAAAATATTAAAACACGTTACCACCGCAGTGGCAATGCCCTGTCAGACCCGTAAGCGCAGGATTTTGGGCTCAAATCCTGAAAACGTTTGTGCCAATGGCTCAAAAGCTCCAGAACTGAGTCCAAGAAAGGCACACAATAAATACCAGCACCTTCATTTCTAGTTCATCAATGTATTGATCCACTAGAAACAAAGCTGACTTACATAAGCCGTGTCCAAACTGATGCAAGGAAAAAACAAACCCTCTTGGTTTTCCTTGGGAGATTTGCTTGCAAATGTGACTGCCAGTGATTCTTTGCAGCCAGATGTTAAAGGTTTGTTTTACATATGTTAAAGAAGCAATTTCAGCCTGACAAAGCTAACCCTAACCCTAAAATATGAATTGCCATTGAAATATGAAATCCCACTTCAACAGCAGGGGACTTCATTTGTTTTTTTGCAACAAAGCTCTCAGAAGTGTCTTTGCTGGAAAAGCTTGCAGTGTTAGGGCTGTTTTGTGTTTTGTTTCATGGAGGGAATAGAAATGGCTTTACCATTTCTTCTTACTTCATCAAGTAAGCTGCAATGGATGACATTTTTAGCTCTAAATGTTCAAGGCAAAAACCTGCCACTCTTCCACGGAGACAAAATTTCACTTCCTATAGTGCTCCTTGGGTACAGACCTTCAAATTTTAGTCTTTCTTAATTCGCAGCCTGCTACCAATTCCCTAAGAGAGGTGGAGGCAGCTTGGTAGACTTGCAGGAATGGGGGAAAGTAACTTTTCACAAAACCCATAAAACCAGCTCACCAATCTTATGGGCCCTGTTATTAGTTCAGATTTATAGTGAACAAACAGACAAGACACCACTGAGGAGGTTCATGTCCGGGTTCACTTTTGCCCACCATGGATTTCCTTCCTGTAGCAGCTAAACTGTTCTATCTCGTTTTTTTAAACTGTGCAGGGATGAAGGACATCTTATCCAGGAGCACAGGAAAGGCCAAAACAGCATCCAGCTGAAATCCAACCTGCCTTGAACACACTTCTGCCTGTGCTCAGGGAAACAAACTCCTTCAATATAGCAAATACAATTACATCCTGCTGCACACTTCCATCATCACAAAAGCAAATAAAACAATGGACACTTCTCATGTTGGACTTCGGCAAAAGACATTTATTATTATTATTATTATTGTTGTTGTGTTGCTGTTGTACCTCCTCTGCTCTGCCCACAGTGGTGGCATAAATGCTGTTACCATATTGTAGCTGATGATGCCGGTGTACAAATCAAAATCCATCTTAATTTCAAACTCCATTAGAAACACAGGAAAAAAGATCAACATTTACGAAATGTAAAGGGAAAAATGGTATGGAAAGAATTCTTTTTTTTTTTATTTTTCAAGCTTCCAAGACAGTATTACAAACAACAGAGAGCAAAGTAAAGCTAGAAATGAAATACTTGACAGCATCTGTTTAAAAATTACAGCTAAGAAACCTAATAAAAGTTGAATAAACAGTTACTAGAAATAAAAATTTTTACACATATGATAGTTGTCTGGGATTTTTATTTCTTCAAAATAATTCATACAAATGGTTACAGTCACAAACATGATTTTAACCAAAAATATTGCTAGCCTACCACATTACCAGGAAGGAATCAATGTAGGCAATGAAATGCTGCTACTTTTCAGTAGTCTAGTGCCTTTTCCAGATACCACCAATAATATATACTTTAACTGGTGACAAAAAGCACAACGCTCGTTTATACAAAACCTTTTTTTTTTCCTCAAAATCTCTTTGCAAGGTTGTCTTCATTTTGAAATAAGGGAATTCATGCCAAAATTAGGAGAAACTGTTTTTTCTTTTGTTTACTAAATTATTCTAAAAAATAAGACAAGCAGGTAGAAAAAACAATGCACTGTGTGGCGTAGAAAGAAAAATGGGAAAAATTCATTGTCCTGAGAAGTTTGCCAACTGCCTCATTTTTGGGCATGTCTTAAAATATAAAAGAAAGGATTTTTAATCTCAAAATTGGTTTGTTGAATGCCTCCCTTATGTTTTTCCTTGTTGACAGCTAAGCAAACAAACCCTTTTTAATGTTCTAAAAACTGTACACAGACAAGTACATTCATGATATAATTAACTACTAACTTCTCTTGCTTAACAAAGAACCCATAGGACACAGAAACAGTGAATCAGTCCACTGGACAGGGACAAACTACAATTTATACGGAGGAAAAAAATGTTTCCAAATCTTCTTTTTTTGTCTCCCACCTTTTCCTTTTATACTGTATATTGGACCAGTTTCTAAAACAATAATCGTCTCCTCCTGTAAGTTCATGGTTTTGCCTTTAATCAAAATCCAGGGTTTTGTTTTTCCGCACGCTGAAGTTGAGATCTCCGATGCTGGGAATGCTGTTCTCGTAGGCTACAATTGGTCGCTTGGGTGGTCTCTATCAGCTTCTGGTTTGACAGTTTGGCCGGGGGAAGGAGCGTGGGGCGGGTGGGCTACAGCAGGGAGGCCGTGTGATAAAGACATGGGGTTGGGGACTATTCCTTCTACTGCTGCAGGTATGCCAGTGGAAGCCACGCTTACAACGCCCGGGGGATACCTGCTGGGAGGAGAGAACAGGAGCACGCATTAAAACCATGAGGTGACCCACCAGAAAGCCCACCCTGCCTCCTCCTAGAGCTACAGAGACGCTTCTTTTGTTTTCAGAGCAGCTACAAAGAGAGGGACTTAAGCTCCAGATGAGATGCCATATGCAGATGCTAATAAACAAAGCAGGAAATGCTGTATTTTACCCAAATAAGAAATAAAGGTTTGCTAGATTGTTTCTTCAGATTTAAGTGTGAGTGACAGCACAGCAAAGGAAAAAAACCTGGAAGTATTGCTCCTCTCAAAGCATAACCTCAATCAGAAGTAATTCTGGTCGAGTCTGTGCAATATCTGTTCTCTATGACTTTTCTTCAAGTTGACCTTAGGGTTTTTTTGTTCCTCTTTCATTCTCAAGGTTTAAATTTTCATTGTTGTGGTTTGAAAAAGTATTTCTTTATACTACTTTTGCAGTCCTAACTTTGTGATGGCAACCCCAAAAAAGCAATTATACTCCCACACTCCTCAGATGATATTCAGATGCCTATTGAATCTGAGTAATGTTTTCAGCATAAAACTTGCCACTGCACTTCTCTGAAAGAGAATCAGTCCTAGTCACATGGAGGACAGGTGCTTTAGGTGCACTGCAAGAAAGAGATGCAAACAAAAAAACTGTGGATGGTTTTAAAGATTTCTTACTCTATCTGGAAAAACACCGAGACTGAAATATTTTATGAATTCAACAAAAAAATCGCTCTCTGATTCAGCTTGATTTTATGATGGATCTGACATCATCAGGTTAAAAAAAACTCTTGCAAATCTACTGCCTCAATCCAAAAGTTCAGATGTAATTGGTGAACACTGGCATTTCAAAGTGCTGCATATAAACAACAGCTACACGTGAATTTAATAAAAATTTGTTTTCTTTTTAGTCAAATACCTCAATACCTATTTGCAAGTTATGTCACACTGGACACTTAACATTGACCCTTTGCCTCCCTTCCTCATCACAAAGCTGCACACCCATCCCTTCTTCCCTCCTGATGATTGTTCTGCTCATCCTAAAGGGAGCGTTATCCATTTGAAAGTCCAAGTACACAAACCTACCACTCACAGCACCTTTTGCTACACAAGTATTTACTCAGGGCTGCATGGGAGAAAAGGCCCTTGTAGGCTTGTCAAGCTTTTTCAAATATCATGTTATTCTGCTGTTGATTTTCACCTGATAAGAGTTTAACGCTGAATTTTGCCCCATTTCTGCAGCATCTTTTCTAAGGCAATAGATGTTTGTGCTGCTCATCCTGAATTCCCCTCAAACTGACAGAAAATTAGTGCAGAACTTACACCAAAGTCAGAGGAGGAAAAAAGCTGGATGCAAGCACATTTACTTGTTCTTTTTGATTCCACCACAGAAACCACCATGGGAAGTGCTTTTTGCAAACACTGTGCCAAAGGGGCTCAGCATGGCTATCCAACATGGCACAGGGACAACGAGGACACCACACACTGCTCTGGTCATCCTGGGAAAGTTTCACAGAAGGCTGACTACAATCTGGGATGGATAACCAGGATGTGACAGATCACACCACCTGTAGGCCAGATAACTTTGTTCCCAATTGTACACATATTTACAGGGCTTCCTATGCTAATTCCTTCTCCAGAGAGGTTCCTTAGAATTAATTTGCAGTTGCTAATGGAATTAGTTGCTTGTTTCAGTAACTCCATTTGAATCTTATTAATCAAATTTGCTTCAATTCCTATGAAAACTGTCAGACAGGGTATTGTTTTACTTGCTCTAATTTAATTTTGAAACAGCTTATCTGTTACTCTAGGTGCTTTGCAAAACACAACATGACATAAACTTCCATTTAGAAGTCCTACACAGCAGCTGTTCCCAACATAACCTCTACTTTCTAAAAACATATTCCCTGAGCTTCAACACGCTGGAGCTGGGAACAATCAAGGAGAATGCAAATTCTGCAATTGCATCTTCCTCAGGAAGAAAAGCCAGAGCCTCCCCTCGTGAAAATGGACAGTGCTGAATCAGGAGCATTAGCAGTTACCTCATGAGCACACTAAGCAGTTCAAACTACACAGTCTGTATATGAAATTTCCCCTTGGACACCAAGTTATGATAGGCAGGACTCCACCTGCCAGCACCTCTCCTCAGGTACAGGTTTCCTCCAGATTTTCAGTAATGCCAGGAGGCCCTACAATTGTTTGTGGCAGCAGCCAAAATACAGAAAACATATTGCTCTACAGAAACTGTATTTTACTTGACAACTCCTAGCTCTACCTTGCCATTCTCTTCTTGTAATTTTTGTCTCTTTTCAATTTAATCATCAGTGTTGTTCAAATCCTATCTCTGAAAGGAAGGCAAAAACTCAACAGCCTCTACCCACGAGCATTTCTATTCTATATAACCTTCCCTTTTGTTGCTATTTAATGCTTTTCTATTCTTAACTAGAAAATATACTCCCTCCAGCACTTCATGAAGTTTCTCCTATTTTCCTCCTCTGGTAGCAAGAAGATATTTTCCAGATAAAATGTTCACTGAATTAAATTTTTGTAAAAGCAGAAGCAAGAGATCAATTACACCTCCTCTGTTACTTCAGAGTGTTCCTTCCCCTTCCCCCAACGTAGCCTTAATTTAGGAAGAAAGATACATTGTAATTCTTAGTTACAATGAAAGGCAACTTTAATTTCTATGTTAATCCACTGTATTTTTCAAAGTGCAGAAGCACCTTGAACTATGTGAAGCTCTGTTTGAGAAACTGAGTCTCTCCCAGAAGAGGTTAAAAATTTAAGTGCATGCTGTTATCATGCATTACAGAGTCTGAAAATCACCAGTGAAGTCCCTCAACACGAAAAAACTCCTGAATTACCAAAATCCAGCTCTTCTCATCCAAGTACCTCTTCAGTATTCATAGATACTATTCACAGAATGGTTTTGGTTGGAAGGGACCTTAAAGATCATCCAATTCCAACCCACTGCCACGGGCAGGGACACCTTCCTCTAGACCAGGTTGCTGAGACCCTCACCCAGCCTTCTCATCTCCTACCTGTTAGAAGGCAGGAAGATATGTCAACATGTCTATAAATGGTACAATCACTGTTTACTGGTTGTTAAATTTCACTTTGCCCATGACCTGCCTGCTCTGTGACACAGGAGATGGCAGGGGGTTATTTAACAGGCAGCTCGGTAACAAATACCCAGTAATAACACAAGACCGGGGTATATTATGCTGCTTCACCAAGACCACCACAAGTAATTCCTTCTCTGGAATATTGTGAATCTTTACTCATGGGACAGTTCCTGTTGGCATGACCTTTTGTGCTGATAGGGCAGCTTGCATTTTGCACAGTAAATGGTTTTGTTTTCCACAGAATATGGGGATATTCAGATCTAGATTATATTCAGCTGACGAATGCTCAATGCTCTTGGCTTGGGTTAACATCTGATAATTTGAGAGTTCTGTCCTACATCAAAATACAAGTAAATGATATAACCAGAATAAAACAGCCTCGTTAGCTTAGTTCACCGAAAGAGCTATTTGCATTTTTTAACATATAAATTATTATCCCAGGTCTTATCTTCTAATGCAATTACATGACTACAATACAGTTATTAGCACATCTGAAACTTCATACTGCCTTGTGAAAGACTCCAGAACTCACTTAGCTGAACATAATCTTGAATTGCAAAGAAAAGATGGAAAAATTTGGTTTAAACAATCAATTCAAACACTGTACTTAATCCAGGTAGGAATTAAGCATCAGCAAACACTGCTATTGAAACCAATTTCTTCATAAAACCTGAGCTTCAAGTGCTGCATATTTTGTACTACACATAATAACTGCCTTCACCCACATTCAAACACTATTCTATCACCTCTCCAAAAAGAAGCTTTTAATATTTATTGTATAACTGTTAACTTCTGCCTCAAAATTCCCAAAATGAGTTCTATTTTGTGTTTGAAAGTAATTGTGAAGTCAGAATTTTACAATGAATTTTCTTTATTGAAAAAACTGACTGAAACAATGTCTTAAAAAGTCATTCAGTCCTGTGTTTATCCTGCTTAAATTGAATACATATGGTCTTTACCTTGTAAATCATTAACTCCCAAAACATTCCTAAGTTAAAATTAATTTCTGGCTGTGAAGCCTGCTTCTGCTGGACTTGTGACCCCCAAAATGAGAACAAAACCCTGCATTTTATTTGGGCATGGAACCCTGTTCTTAACTGCCATGACAGGGTTGGAGTTATTACCCCCAGTCTAGCAACACCTGCCTTTAAGCCCCAATTACACTCAGCCATACCCTCACTCCTCCAAACTGGAGTCAGTGAAACCACAGGCTCTGTGGAGGAGAACACAAGTGCCTGAACTCCTCATTTAAGCAAATAAAAACACACTTCTTCAGATATTTGGGGCTATGGGTACTTTTTCCAAAAATAAAAAATCTTCATGTTACATGTTACATGTAACCAAATCCAAGTTATTCTTTTCCTATAGTGCACTTATGGCTACTGACAAAGGGATTATGGCAGAGGGTGGTGACACTCCCCCATCACCTCTCCATCATTTTCTGATGAGACTGTTCCAAGTCACTGGGACAGAAGAGCTTTGCTTCATTTCTCAGCTGTGCACAGCTGGGTTCCCATATGGAGTAAGTAACACAAAACCAGGGATCCCCTCCCTATCAAAAGCACGGGGTAGTGCTCCTAAAGAAGGGCAAAGATAAGGTGGCTGAATGAATAAGGACAGGGTAAAAATTAGGATAAAGAGGTATGGAAAAATAACAAAAGGACTGCACTGTCCCTTCCCTCAAGGCATCAAGGGAAGCATCTGTTTGTAGCTTTCTCAGCCACTTTCATCCTACTTATGTGTAAATACCATACTGGAAGATTAAAAAACTGCAGATGTTTTTCATAAATAAAAACTGTCTGAAGCTGGCTACTAGGAAAAATCTGTTGCTAGAACAGCTGCTAGGGATAAAGGACAGAGAGAGACTCAAGCAAACAAAGTAACTAAGGAATGTGCATATTCGATGTAAAAAATTGCCCCTTTCTATTAATTATTAAGACCTGCTTTCACAGTTGACTGAGAATAGATAGATCAAGTCTCTCAAATGCTTCTGCTTAAAAATTAAACATATAATTTAGAAAACGCTATTTTAAACATATTTTCATAATCACCACAGGCTGTTTCACTGTTTTCAATACTGAGTTACTCTTGTGTCTGGAGGCCACAAACCAGCATAAGAATAGTTTATTACTGGAAGTCTATCTGCAAGCTACTGCTGCATCATTACCTTCAGCAATAAGAAACATAAATTTCCACTGCTCTCACCAGAGATGACCAGAATTGTTTTACTTGAATATACAAACAAATGTGTATAGTTCATATATACTAACCAAACAAAAGAGATTATAAGAGGAATCATATTTACACAGCATGACTGACTTCAACCAGCAAAACAAGATTATTCCCCTGAATGCAACAATTATGAAAACAATACAGCTGGTGTCTAATCCAAACCCACTTCATTTATTAATAGGAAGGTCTTCTATCTATTCTTGAATACCTACAACTGAATTAAGGAGGTATTTCTACTGCATCTTCAGCACTCTTACCTGTATGCAGCACCATTAAGCTCTGGATGAACCACTCCAGGATCCATGCTGGCCCAATGCGTAGCTGCAGTCAAATGATCTTTGTTAACACAGTTTTTCAGACTGTCTGGAATACGACCTAGGATGAAGTGAGGGAGAGGAAGTAAATATACACAGAAATTGTAGGCCTTATGCTCTTAATGTGTTTATGTTAAAAATAGTCAAAAATATTAGCAGATTTAAATAAATAAGTAAAATTACACTGAGAGCTTGGTTTTGATCTTCATTGTTTCTCCTTTGCCTGGGACTTAATAATGGCCAAAATACTCTGCATAATATTGATTTCTCTGTCTCTCTTTGTGTCTTGCAAACAGGGTCTCAATAAAACTCAAATCCACAAAATTCATGCTTTCCATGAAGCTGTAACTTGAATATAGAGTGCGACTACCACTCAAATTCAATAATGCACCCTCCTGCTCTGAGTCTTTAACACCACTTTCCTTTTTTTCCCGCCATTTGTAACAGCAGTAAAAACACTTACGGAAGAATGTAGGATTCTGAATGGAATTCTGCCATAAACCTGCATATGACACCCTGTCCTCCTGATCTTCCCCTTAATTAACTCAACTGCTCTTCACAATTATTTACTATAATGTATTAACCCTCAGCCATCCCTTTCATTCCTATGAAAAATGGAAATACACAAGAATTTCTCTTCTTCATTTCTTCAAAACCTTTGCTTAACCTCTGAAGTATAGCTGAAGTTTTAATCAACCTGATTCAGCACATAACTGGACAACTCTCTCTGTCTTCTGCAGAACTATCTCCACCCCTGCAACAAATGACATGAACAGATATAACACGTTTTGTTCATGGCAATATGAATATTTCCACCTATTTCAACGGGAGGAAGATCAATTGGAGCCGGTGTTTTTTCTGACAGCTGTTTTAATGTATCTTTTCTGAAGTTCAATCTTACTGTGCATTTGCACAAACAGGGGTAGAAAGAAGTAAGTTTGGGTCCACCCCTGCTACTGTTGGTAATGGTACTCCAGAAACACTTTCAAAAAATGACCATGCTCCATCATTAAAGAATTCAGGCTTTTGTCTTCAGCTTCCTATTGGAAATTTGATTAAGGACTTCACTACTCTTTGCCTGCTCTTTCTATCCATCAGCCTGGCCACAAAGAGGTGGTAAAAAAGCCTGTCACAAAATTGCCTTTCGTGTAGTGGATACCATCAAGTACTTGTTACTCCATGACTTGCACTGACATCACAAAACTTGTCACATCTCCTGTGCACAAGCTGAAAAGGTTCTTTTTTTCTCAGTATCAGACAAGATGAGGTACATGCCCCATTATGGGTAGATTCCTACCATTCTCCTGATTAGAAATCATGTTCTAAATGTAGCTGAAATACACATCCGTCTCAACTTCTGCCAAAACTGTCCACTAATTTAAACAGTATCTTTCTTCTTCTGATGTTAATCCTTCTTAATCATGTCTTCCTTTTTGCCCCTCTCATTCTTCACTTTGCTAACTTCTGTAAGCATGTTCTACTAGTTCTCCCCTTTAAAAGCAGTATTTGTTTATTTTAAACTTTCGTTTGCCATGCTCACCTTCCCCGTACTTCCACTACTGTTTTCAGTGGTCCTCTTTATTTCATACTTGGAATGCTTTCAAGTTTAAAAAGATATTTAAAGATATTTAATCTCTGCTTATTAATTTTATTTTATACATCACAACACCATTGATCTTTTGACAACAGCACAACCACTTAATGTCTTTATTGTCAGATGGTAGCCACAGTCTACATTCCTACTGAGCACCTTTTTCCAATTATTTTCCCTCTCTACACCCCCTCTCTGCTGTGTTCCCCTATGGCTTTCACATATCCATCTTTATTTCACATATCCTGTATCTTTCCTACATGTTTCACAGCAATTCAATGTCGTTCTCACCTCCCCAACACTGGTCTCTGTTTGATCTTACTACAAACCATATGCAAACACTGAAGTGCTGACAGCCCTGACACAAATCAGTGATACAGATCACTAAGAGCACAATCACACACTTTAAGGAATCCTGGGTTTGCCCTCCTAGGCACCTATGTTTGGGCTACTGCACAAATTTAACATAAAATTAGCTCTGGATAGCTCTTATTTAGTTTTCAGACCGTAGCCTATTAATGCTTATTTGCACATTAATCCTCCCTCAAGCAGGTATCGGATTATGGTTCATGCAACCTCTCCCAGAGTTATCTGGGAGCAGGGAACAGTTATACAACACCCTGACAAACAAATGTACTACTGGAGTACTGGCACAAGGATCAATTCCAGCAAAGGGATGGTCAGGCTCTTTAGGTCACCTCTAAAACAGAGAGAAATAGTCCGGTAAAGGACAATTCAGATCAGGAGTTTAAGAGGGGCCTCTAATTAGGATCCAGGAGAATCTTCTTTCTGCCCAAGCTATAAATGAAACTAAATTGCCCAGCCTCTCTAGGCACAAGCCAGAGGGAAGGCTACTGCCAGTGCTTTTTGTATAGCAGAGCAATGTGTTGGCACTGAGCTACTCTCAAGGTGACACAGATGGCCCTGCATGTCTGCAGAGCATTCAGACTGTATCGCCAAGGGGGAAACAGCAAAGTCCAACTAAAGAGAAAACATTAGTGCTTAATGAATCATTTTCCAGTATGAAAATCCTTCCTTTTATTTTAGGCTACAAGGGATTCAAACCAATGCCAAATGGCTCAGTCTTCTCATTTTATTTATTAGCAGTGCATGTTAGAGACATAACTGTTTTCTCTTATGTGAGCAGTTTACAATTACATGGTAGTTATATAACAAAGACGCTTTGCCCTTTAAAATGCCAGGCTTCTTTAGCAATGCTTTAAAGAGAGGAACATCTAAAATAGAATAACCTCCCAACAAAATACTTTGACGTAGAGAATCAGAACTGTTCCTGCCAAGTATAAGGGGGAATACACGAAAAGCTAAGAAAGACACCAGCAATACCAGGATGCCTTGCAGTCAACACTTACATGCAACAAAGAAGAAAGGCAGCAGATTTTTCACATTTAAATACATTTCTCTTATAGGAAAAAAGCACTTACTTTGAAGTGCCTGCCTTCCTTTGTAATTGCAAAGAACCTCCAAAACAACCTGTTCCAGTTCTGAGAACAGACTTAGTGGGCATTTGCTCATTTCTGTGTTCCAAATACTAGAAACGGCAAACAAAACCTAAGGCTGGTTCTTTTCAGCATCTTCCAAGACTGAAGAAAAAAAGGTTTGTTAAGAAGAACGAGGCAGGGAAGGAGCCAATAAGGTGAGTCAGTACCTGTGATCGCCCTCCGGATCTCTCGTGCTGCTTCCTCCCGCATCTCAATTGAGGCTTGTTCACTATACCAGGCTGCATGTGGGGTACAGATCAGGTTTGGTGCATCCTTCAAGGGGCCCTGACTAAAGCTAAATGAAGATTTAAAACAAGATCAAATGACAAAAAATATTGGGGGGGGGGGGGGAGGAAGGGGGGGGAATCCAGATGGATTTGTACATACACAGATTAATTTTTACAACAGAAAAGAATTGCATTTCTATTCTTCGGTGGGTTTAATTCTGTCAGTTAATTTAATACACTACTCATGGTATAAATAAGCAACAATCACCTTTTATAGACTCAAAGGGTAGAACCTAAGCATAGCAGCAACATTAGCTTCTGTCCAATGCACTTATTGTAACTACAGCCACTGCCACTCCAGTTCTGGGGCAGAAATGCATAAAGCAAAACCCAAATTAAATCAGGATGCCATTCCATTTGTCCAGTTCATCACAATTTTACTGCATTAGCCAAGAAAGCTCTGTTCTTTCAGTCAATGTGACATTCAGTTTTTTTAATAAAAAAATCTTACAATTATTTCCAAATCAGAAGTGTGACCATAAGCACACAAGTTTTTTTGATAATTCAGTTGTTATTTTTCCATTATTTCTAACTAATATTTTTCTTTCACCACAGAAAGAAGGAAATTTACTTTTCAGATTGATTTTCAGGGAAGGCAATGAATCTGTGTAAAAGTGTTATCACAGATACAGAGTAAAGAAACTGAAAATAATGGAAACTTGCTCCTCCTATTTATTTCCAGCTTTAATAATCTTGCAGTCAACTGTAACAACGGGAGAACAAATACTTTAAGACAAAAGCGTGCTTTCAGAGTTGGTCATAATTCAAAAAAGAGATAGATTTCATCTGTAGTTCAATAAACATCAAAATATTTGGCAAAACTCTTGAATAAAGAGTTGCATGCTGCGATCAGATAGACATGCAGCACTGAAGCCAAAGGAAATTGTGGCTGTAATCCTGCAACTGAATCTCTGCAGATGGCATCTCCATGCAGTAAATGGGGCTTCCTAGAGGTGCAACGGGCTGCTCGTGCAGATCTGAGAGCGGGATTGGGAAGAATGTATGGAGCTGGAAGTCCCTTGAGCTGCTAAGACTCTGGCTTTGCACAGCACTACTGCATTGTAATGACTACATTTAGGAGTAAATGAATGCAGAGTATGCATAAATAAAATTAAATATTTGTGATGTGGCATTGTGCCTCAGTAGATATAAAAATTCTGACTGAAGGGACACTATTCTAATTTTTCAAAGCTACTATTCCCCAGCCCCAAGCTGGTCTGAGAGATACTGTCCTCTCTCCAGTCTTTACAACCTGCCCTGTATCTGCTTCTCTTCAAAAACTTTTGTGGATTGTTCCAGTTAAAATTAACATTTCTCCCTGTCCAGACTGAAAAAGGCTTGTCACATAAAAGGACTAAGCTACAGCAGCCTATCCTCAAGGACATATGAATAGGCTCATTTCTGATTAGGAGAGCAGATATCGCAGTGCCAGTGCCACTTAAGGGAGTGGTACATTTCTGCTTTAAAACACTGGACTTCTGAGTCATTCAGAAAGTCTGGCTTGTGCTATTAGCCCTGCTACTGACAGCAGAGTTACTACTCCCCTGAATAAAGGGTAAAGCGAAACACAACCTGCACTCTGACAGCCTTCCTTAACTTTTTTTTTTTACAACCTATTACATTTATGGTTTTCCTGCAGAGGCAATCTGGACAAAAATATGTCTTTTCCTTCAGAAAGGTGTCATAAAGCAGTTATTTCTCACACCACATCTCAACTCTTTGCCTTTGAAGAACTCTGTTCAGACATCAATATTAGTTGCCTCCAGAGCTGCATCAATGACAAAGGTGCACTCCCTTCAGAGTCACAGCCAAAGCCATGCCCAGGACTTGAACCAAAGCCCCTGCTGCTTCTACTAAATAAACCCACTGATTTTTATTTTTTTTTAAAGGAATTAAATCTTGGATGTGGCTTTTTTCACTTCTGGCCACATACACAAGCTCCATCTACATTTGCATTAGTCCAGTGCTGCACAGAGTCATGTTGCTTTGCTAAGGAGTCTTTAGCTACCAAATGAACGGAAAACTCAGTTTACTTGTTGCTGTTGATTGTATCATGCACTAAGACTTAAAAATAAGAAAGTGAACAAAATAAAAAGAAAAGAAAAGGAAAAGCACCTGAATGGTTCTGACTCATGTACATCTAAGGCTGCCCCTCGTATCCTTCCTTCCTTCAGGGCCTGTGCAAGTGCTTTTTCGTCTACTAACCCACCTCGAGCTGTGTTGACCAGGAAAGCCCCTTGTCTCATCTAGGGAAAGTTAAAAACAAGAATGATGAAATAAAAATAAATGAAATAAAATCGTTGTGGCATTATTTTTTACTCAAAAGAAGCATCCATTACAACAAAGGCTATTCAGCTGGTTTAAACTGTAACACAGTTGTCTTCCCTTTCCATTGGAAAGTACCACAAAATGTGATGCTTCTAACATAAAATGCTATTTCACAGCACTTAATAACCTTTTGTTTCTTGTAAGTAGTGCCTTTTAATAGAAGCGTTGTTTCAGATATTGTGCAGTAACATGATCAAAAGATACAACTGTGCATATGAGAGTGACAGATCATTTTATGCCTTTTTCTTTCACTGTGAAATTGCATGAGACAGAAACTACAGCACATTCTTAAACAAATTCATACTTTGTGGCTTTCAACTATCACACAAATAAAAGCCTACATGATTTTTTCAGAAAAAATCAATGCTTTTGGATTTTCAAACACTTTTCCCTTTAGTTGCCAAAACACAGTAGATGTATGTATTATTTATTTTTGTTACTTCAGCTTCCTCCTCCCCTGTGAGACTTTTCAAATAAAGGCCTAAAGAATTCTTCTATTATTCAATTAAAAGGCATGAAAATGAATTTGGTTGAGAACGCTGTGTGCCCAGGAGAGAAGCTGTGCTGTGCATTGTGCAGATTAGCATTGTAGATGACACTGCTTGGGGAGAACTACAAGAATTTACACCACAATATATCCACAACTTGAAAATAAAGTGGTAGCTTAAATAAGAGAGATGGTACAGAAAAAAACAAACTGCTACATCCTGCTTCCAGCCACCCTAATACTTCATCTTTTACCAGATGTCTCAAACACTTCAGTGCATGAAGGTAAAGGGTATGAAGAGCAGGAACCATGGTGAAGATGAATGATAAAAATCTCGTTTTGTACTGACTCCGTCTCTCACCATACGAATAAGAAAACCCCAACATTTTGACACCAACTTGAAACCTACACATCAAACTAAACCTTATGTAAATGGATCCTAACGCTGAAAGACTGATTCGAAATGCCAAATTCATGAACAACAAGGAGGTTTGGATGACAGTCAGCTACGAGGATTTTTTTTGTTTTTACGAGATCGTAGGGAGTATAATATACATATGCTTGCAGTATTTTATAAGGAAAAACCCCACCACATTTTACTGGCCAACTCTCTAGGTTTAGTGTGGCCCTGCCTCTTTCTATTTGCAGATTCCTGGGACAACAGGGAACCATCCATTGGTGTGTACAGCAAAACCAAACTCCACTTACAAGAGCAAAACTAAAGAATGCTTCTCTCAGTTTTATGTAATTAACTTGGGAATTAGAACAGTAAAGAAACGGGGTCAAGATCTTGAGTTGGTCTATTAACAACATGACATTCCTTATGGGAATTACCACTGTATGTCCAATACTTGGACCAACTGTGAGAATTATTATCAAAACTAGCACAGGTGGGCTCAAAGAGACAATCACACCTGGTATGTCATATCGGCTCATGGGAGCTCATACACCCTTCCCATCTCTGTGCAAAGGGGTAACTTGAGTTTAAAGTACAGCTTGGTGAATTTATATGCCCTCTGAAGGACTTGAACATTTTCACTGAAGTGAGCCTAGATAAAATCTTCTGTCCGATCTGTCCAACAACCTTGCTTCAGTTTTCATTTTAGGGCTATTTACAAAACTCTAAAACTAGTACTAAGACAAGTTCAAATCAAACAGAATATGGCTGCATAAATGCATTCTAGTGGGAATGAATTAAGTGACTCATGATAAACTGCCAGGGTGGATGCAGCTGGAGATGATCTTTAACAATGGGTGGAAGCTTGAAAGAGCTTCACAGCTAGAACTGCTGACAGCTGTTAAATTTACCTACACTAAACCTGCACAGCTGCTTTAAAATTTATTGTGTTTAAACTGCAGTGTCGTCTTCTCAAATTCGTAACACTAAAAGATGACCTCAGCTTCTCTTAAGAGCACCTGATTATCAGAGGTTCAATGAAACACTCTTCTGTGCGCTACTCTGGGACTACAAGGACAAGCAGGATGGCTAGGCAGAATACCGACTAATTCAAGAGAAAAGCTACTGAAAGACTGACACCAAATATTCAAACACATTTAAGGTTATGTAATTTCAGATTCTAAACAAAATTCAGGGTGAGACTTCAGCGAAATGAGATGCACCACACTTCTCTGTATGTAGCTTAAAAATTGGTTATTACATGAACATGCAATATGGGACAGAAGTGGCATGCAATGCTCTCTAGAAGTTTTAGGCCAATTCTAACATCTGTCTGCCTAAATCATGATCAGGAGACACAAACTAAGTAGTCAGAGGTGTTACAATTTTATGGTTTTCACATCCGCTTTTACTGTACAGACTGCTTCACCCAAACTCTTATACAAAGCAAAAACTATCTTCTAATATTTTAATCCTTGCTTTGATCATGAAAGGAAACAAACGGCAGGATAGATGTTTGCAATATACTTTCCAGTGCAGATTTTATTACAGGCATTTCATTTCAGATGGTATTACTCAGTTTTAACATGCTTCTCTTTGTTTGTTTCTCTGAATAATGCACTAAGCCTTCTCCAAAGCTTGACACATTTAGCCACCTCCACTCAAAAACTTCCTGTGATAAACTGGCCCTAGTTTCACATCTGCTGTATAATGAGTGACCACTGCTCAGTGGTCCCACTGAATTCAGTGTGATTCTGTTTGGGTCCAGATGTCTGCTTGCAAAGACATCTAACCATGTAATAACCACTGCATGTACACAGGCACACAACAAAAGGAAATGTTCCGGGCAGGGTGACAGAGCTCTGTTCTCTTAGAGGTTTCATTTTAAGCTTCTTAATTTTTTCGAGTTTTAAATCCCAAATCCTGATTTTATGTTGGGATGGATTTGCAAAATCCTTAAACTCTCAAATCAAGAAGTATGTTATATGTCCGTTTTCTGCCACAATCCTACATGACTGTGGAACATGTTCAGTAAGTATTTCAGTTCTAAAGTTCAGGAGTAGTGGGTGCAAACTATTTCTCAGAAGACAAGCAATGATTTTACTTCAAAAGAATGCTACTGTCATTGTTACCGTTGTTACCAACACATACCACATTCTCTACATGAAGAACAGCAAAATCAACTATTCTATCTTGGGGTTTCTTCCCTGAACACTGTCTCCATTCTTACATCTCAGCATCGTATTTCTCGCTGTCACCTACACTGAGATCAGAGTCAGAAGCCAAACATTTAATGAAAAAACTTACTATCAAATTAGTCAATAACAGCACTTACTGTACCCAGATTTTGAAATTATTTTAATATTATCTAAAACTTTGGGGAGAGGATAGTACTAATTCCAAGAAACATTATTTTTCCCAGTAACACAATGCTGTAAATGAGCTCCATCCATGAAGTGCTCTGCGAGCATCGGGACTGAGCACAGGGGGGAGCCATTTAGTCATAATCCTTAAATTGCATGAAAGAACTCAAACGGAGGAACAAGAGTGAAAGGCAGAATTGCTACCTGAAAATACACATGTAAAGGAAGTAGCTACTCCAAGACATAGGAAAAGTACTTTTACATCAAGGCCACTTTATTTAATCTGAACGACATTAAGAAGAGCAAATTATTTCCGCAAATGCAATGTTACCGAGCCAAAAAGACAGTAAAGGCAACAATACATAAGCCACCAGCTATTTCCTAATCAACTATAAACCTGTATGATTACAAAAGCAGCAAAAGGGAAAGAAATTTCTTTCAAATGAGAATCTACCTATTTACAAAAATAAATGCTACACAGAGTTGGCAACCAGCACCGGTGTGGAGGGTGCCCACCGAGATTATTACCTGCTTTATGGTGAAGTCATTAATAAGATGATGATTGTGTTCATTCAAGTTGCAGTGCAGGGTAACACAGTCACTGTGGAACAGCAGGTCCTGCAAAGTGCTCACCCGCTGCAGTCCCAGAGCACGCTCCATGCCATCCGAGAGGTATGGGTCATAGAAAATCACACTGAAGCCAAAGGCTTTGGCACGTAGTGCTACTGCTTGCCCAACACGCCCTAGAACAAGACAAACACGCAATGAGAACAGATGTGGAGCAGCTGGTGCGAGGTAGTCTCCTCCTTCCTAATGGGAACGCTTGTATCAAACTATAACGCTTTGTACAGCAAGTGGAAGAGCAGAAGACAGAGGCAGCTCCCACCCCACTCAAAATCATCACTAAGATCAGAAATGATACATCTGGACTGTTTCACACTGCCTTGTTTGAAACAAAGCAGGAGGTTTGCACCTTTTGTAACCAGATATCTGAAATGCCAGAAGATGTCACGTAATCTGCAATAATCTGTGTAATACAAGGCTTGCCTGCTGGGCCTGTTTATGGCAAAACACCACTGCCTGTGAACACATCCTGCCAAGGACTTAGTCTTACCCATGTCAAACCAGCTGGCTTTAATAAAAAGCTATAAAATTAATCCACAAAAATGGATGCAACGAAAGATAATTTGTTTAATCTGAAGCGCAACCATTCTCAATGCAGGGAATCGCCTTTCTGAACTAGTATTTTCTTTCATTTTGAGCAACACCCTTCCAGCATTAAAATGCCTACAAGAATCCTGTCATTGAAGGCTTTAAAATAAATTTTATTCAGCTACCTAAATGATAAATAAACACAATTCATCATATGGTATTGGTTAAGAAGAGCGCTGCCTCACTTGGTATTCACATTGACCTTTGCCTTTCTGTTCCACTTTCCTTACTGCCAAATTTCAAGAGATGTGCCCAAAACTGCTGTATGGGCATGACTCCATGCCACATGTATCAGAGGGTGTGTTATTTCCCTTTGACACACTACCAGTAAAACACAGAGAACAAAACTGAGTGAGTACATCTGATGAGTTACAGGTATTTTGAAGAGTGAGAACTAACACACTTTTCAACTTAGAAGCCTACACATTAAATACTCATGTTAGAGTATTACAAATGTTGGATAAAGATGTTTCAAAGCATCACTTGATAAAGTATAATAATAATAGTGTCTCATTTGAAAAAGAAAACTAAAAAAAGTCGACAAGTTTTCTTTTGTACATCTGAGTTTGTTCAAAAAAGCATCAAATTAACCCAGGGAAATCCCATCTCTTCCCAATTGTGCTTGAAGGGATTTCCCTCTGCTTTTCAGTTCCTCTTTGAATAAACTTGAGAAGTCACAGGAAGAAAGGGGTTTTGTTGATCATTTAACCTGAATACAGCAATTCTGTAGTGCTTAGTGACAGATGTGCTTGGAATATTAAACAGTATGTCAACCTGATAGGGGCTGTTTGCCTTTCTTTGGGGACAGCAAGTTAAAATACTCCTCAAAATCTTTTATTTCAATACTTGCATGCACATTATTTATTTGCTTTCCAAGCTGGTTTTGTAAATTTGAAATAGAAAATTTTCAGCACAAACACTGTATTATTTTCAAATTTTGGCATGTTCACAGCTCAAGGAATCAGTCACACAACTGTAAACACTTTTTATTTTTTTTAACAAAGCAAATAGCTGTTACTCCAGCTCCATTCATTTTCACATGCAACATTCTGTCATCTGCTCTTTCTTACACTCTTTACAACACTAATACCTGAGGGGATTCATGACAGTGAAATCTCTCACAACAGACTCTCCAGTTAAAGCCACGCTCCCCATTCACTGCAACCAGGCCAATAAACCAAAACCTTCTTCAATGGGCACAGAAGTTTCCTTCTAGAACACTTGGGAATCATGCCTGTACTTCTAACGAGAATTGTCCTATTACAATCATTTTAAGGGATAAAACTCTTCTGCAACTGACAATCCATATTTAGTCTCAGTCATTACACACACACAGAGATGGACACACATAATTTGCCGATTCCTTTCTAAACTAAAATCCAAAAACCACAAAACCTATAATGCTTTCTAAACTTTCCAAAAAAAAGTTGTTAAGTAGAAGACTCTCCTGGGCACGAGGGGTGGCTCAAAACCTACCTCAGCACCTCACAGGCAATACAGCACACAAATCATCCCACCTTCGGGACAACTCTATGTTAAGAGCATACAGAATTGTTATGAATGTGCATGGCTGCTTCCAGGGAGGGCAAAATCCTAACTTCAAAACATTGAGTGAACTTCTGTGGTGTGAGAAGAATGTAGAAAATGCATGTTGCGTACAATTGCAAAAAAAAAGCAGAAAGCAACAAAAGCCTATTTTAGAAATCAGAGATTTATATAAAGTTCTAGCAAGGTTCATGCATCATTTGAAAAGAGAGACTCAAAAACACCTGAGTCTCCTATTACGCCCATTCACTCCCCCACAAGTCTCACAACTTCCCCCAAGTGTCCCAATTTGTAGGTGTCTCTGACCTTGACTCTGCCAATGACCTGAGTGTGACAGTACAGCAGCTGCAGTTGTCAGTGACCCTGCTCAGCCCCTGGGCAATGAACACTCCTCCTGTGCTGGTACTACAAAGTTTTATAGAACAACCTTGATACCATGGAAACACTGATGACCTGCCTGAAGGCTTCTGTGGAAAGGAAAAGTGCTTTCACTTAGCAGCTCTTCCCTGCCTATGCAACAGTCATAGAGAATATGGTTGATTTTTCCTACTTCTTGGAGAACTCTGCAATGTGGACGGTAATACCACGCAAATCTTAAGCCTTATTGTCTTATAATGCAGGTTAGTAATTAGGCTAATATCTAGGTAGGACTGTGGGACTGTTGAGAAAATACAGCACGTGAGGAAAGACAAACTGAGTGACGAGATTCACTATGATGTGGAGACAAACTTATTTGGAAGAATTTCACCTTTCTCGAGTGAGGAAATGCATTAGCTATTAGTCATCAGCATTTGTCACTGCGAAGGAAAGGGGAAGGGAGTGTGACTTCATTGCTATAAAATTATTATTAGAGCAGAACCAGGTCCACCTATCCATTCAATTACTTACATGCTGCTGATCATAAATATTCTTTCTTCAAAAAAAATCCTATATGTCTAAATATAAGGTGGAAAGGTGGCTTTTTTCTTTTTAAATGCAGGGCTTACTAACAACACTTGTGATGCATCACTTGAAATATAGGACACTGGATAGTAACAAAGATTAAAAGTGACAAAGACAGCTGTTTAATGATGTGATATTATTATATAGGTAATGCTCAAAGAATCCCACACTTCACAAAACCAGAAAGAAACAGAGGCTGTGCCCTAAGGAGCTCAGGGTCTAACCAAACACCACAACAATGACGGATGGGATCCAACAGGCACGTGGAGGAGGCATTATGCTGTTGAGTCTCTGCTTATCTTCAAGCTCAATACAAGAAGAGGATGAGAGATGGGGTTAACTTTAAAGGAAGAGCACAAAGTAATAGGATTAAGCAGAATAGACCAAGTGTCAAAGCAGGAATATGCATGAGAGAAGGCAAAGAAAAGAGAGTGGGTGATGGAAAGAAGGCAAGTGAGTCACGAAACTTGGCTAGACCAGTGGATAAGTGAGAAGCTGAAACTTCGGAGGGAATGACATAGTCATTCCCTAGCACAGAGATAGGCAAGAGCTAGGGTGTTTCTCTTTGGCAGAACAAGAGAAAAGCCCAGGAACAGATGCAAAGAAGGCCTGGAGCTAGCTGTTGCAGCAGCAAAGTGATAAATTTAAACAACCCACTGCTGAAGAGACCACAAGTTTTGGACAAGAACAGAGAAACACAGCTGTGGTTGAGAGGAGATGATCTCAGACACACGTTAACAAGAAAGGACAGAAACTGCGACACTACACAGAACTACAGAAAAGGACTTGGTAACAGATGATGAGAACTGTTTATTTTGTGTGTAATACATTCATTTCACAGCATCTGAGTGGATCATCACTTCTGACACTGACATGTTAAAATAATAAAATAATAAATTGAGGCGAAACTCCAGACGCAGGAAGAGGTCACTAGTAAAGCAACACAACCTAAGGACAACAGTCTTTTGAAGTTTTTTGGTTGTAAATATGTTTTAGTCGGAAACTAGAGACAAGTAGCCTCTTGCAGGGATCTGTACTAGAAAAGGGAGTACCTCACAGCCTAAGTGTCTGAAGTGCTCACACAGAAACTCAAGTACAGCCACCAGTAGCACAGTCTACATTTTAACGCTTCATTAACACAGAGCTACATAGGGGTTTGTTAGAATAGCTCAGAATCAAAGTGTTGTGCTTAGTTGCATCCATGCAACAAGAAGGAAGAGTGGAAGTTGCCAAAAGTGACTTTACAGCTTAATTTTCTTTGAAATTGTGAATATTCTATTGTAGGAAAAGATCATCATGGCTAGGCTTCGCGAACGAAGATTTGGGAAGGGCTCTACCCATTTTTCATGCAAGCGCGTTGGTGGCTAAAAAGGCCAATACGAGAAAGGCAAGTCCGGTTGCAAAAGACACAGCAGAAAGACTCCTTAGATGGTATATTCTGCAAGGTTCGATTCTTTCTGCGTTGTCTTTTCTCCTCAAGAGTGATCCTGCGTGCCTTCTCAAAAGCATCAGCAGCGTTATAAATGGTCTGTCTCCAGGCCTCCCGATTAGAGGCCAGAGGGGAAAAGATACAGGAACAACAAAAGACTAGAGACAATGACTGGTTAATAACTGCAACAGATATGAGCCTTTAAAATCAGATTCTGCTGGGTTTTTTTAATACACCATGCACATGAGAGGTTTGCTTTTTAAAACTAAAACCAAAACCTAGCATTCTGTAAAGCTCTATGCACATATCAGCAAGGTGATTATCCATTTGTTTCTCTATACTTTTCAGTCATTCACAACAAAACCAACACACTACATTCACTTAAAGAAGTCAATGATGAAAGACTTTTTCTAATCTCAAGTCTAAATTTGTTCAGTGGAAAAAAAAAAAATCCAATGACAATAGGACAGACATTTCCAGCATATATTCATGTGAGATACACAGCATGTGAGCCAAAAGCTTAAGTTCCAAAAGCTAGGTATGCATTTCCATTTTGGAAACACTGCAGGCAACTGTCTATTACTTATGTACAGATGCTGTGACTGTGAGTGCAATAATCATTGTGTGTTTAAATGAGATGCATAATTACATGAGAATAGATTTGAGAAAGCAACTTCATGACTAACTTCTTGACAGTCATATTTTAAAGGCAATTCTTTGATTGTGAAGATGGTTTTGGTGTATTGCATACTCAAATGAGTACTATGTAATGAATGCCAGGCTATTTTCAGCTTCTGAAAGTAAGAGTTCGTGGCTTGAGTTACTTGACAGCAGAGTGTAACTGGAACAGTCATTTAAGTATGATGCTTTGTTGGCAAAATCATATTATTAACTCCTGTGGATGAATAGCATAGCAATTGCATCCACAGTGTATCAGATCTGTGTTAAGACTAGCACATGACTGAATAATTTTTATATAGAAACTGACTTCCTTGTTTTTCTTCTCTACTTGTGTAACAGACAGTAATTAATTCATCTCAAGCAAGCCTGTCCATCTGTTGGATGCTGAAACACATTTAGGGCCACTCAGAGAGGTAAGTAGGTGATTTTATTAGGCCTGGAAACATTTCAAAGTTTCTTGCATATATTTTTCCTCTCATTAGAGCTGAAATACAATTTCAGATGCAGCTCAACAAAATGCACAAACTAACTGCTCTGCAGGCTGTTACTGCAGAGAAGACTTTTCAGTTATGTAAAAAACAGTAAAAGGATAGAAGGCCAAACAGAACCAGATGTTACAATGGATAAGGAATAAAACATACACATAGGACACTGGGTTGAAGTAGTGGGAAAAGGGAAGTGATGATGTCTCCTCTTACAACCAGTGTGCCTGACACCAGGCAATATGGCAACAGAAAGATGTACAGAAACTCAAAAGAATTGAGAGAATATCAGCAACAAAATCAGTTTTCTGAGGAAAATTATTATGTCTAAAGGGAAAACATCTGAAATATATAAACACCAGGAAACAAGAGGGATTATACACAATGTGTGACACAGAGTGGATGAAAGGGTCCCATTTTTATAGCTCAAATCTTTGTAAGTGAAGAGTATTAAACCACCTGTCAAGACAACGTACCTAATCCAATAATGCCCAGGGTCTCCCCTCTGATCCTGGCAGCTCCAGAGGCCACTTCCCGAATCTGTTCAACGCTCTGTACTCTCGTGCCTTCCCGCAGAGCCTGGTGGAGCCAGGTGGTTCTCCTGTACAGGTTCAGAATGTGGCACATGGTAGAATCTGCCGTTTCTTCTACGGAGGCGGCTGGCACGTTACACACTGCAATCCCTGCAAACAGTGGGAGAGAGCACACCAGTTGCCAAACATTCTTACTTTTTTCCCATTTCACAGCAGTTTAGGAGTATGATGTGTAAAACTACAGATATTTCAACATGTCTTGCACAAATACTAAGTTTCTGACCATAAAGGCAGACAGAATACCTGATGTAATAGTTGATAAATATGTGCTAACTTATTTTTCTGATTTTTTAACTACTACTGCATTTTTATTTATTGCAAACTAAGGCAAATAGTAAACAGACCACTGAAGTCACAAAAGGAGAGTACTGAAGACGTCAAGATAGTTTAGAACCTGAGTCTTGGTAAGCGTTTTACAATTCCACTGAGCTTGGTGTTCTGAATAGCAAAGAGGAATCTGCCTTGCTTTCAATAGTGTGGTTAATGATCATTGCTTAGGTTTAATTGTGACTTGGCTTTTTCCTACTGAGCAGATAGGCTCCCAAAAGCTATCTATGCAAGTTACAAAAAGGATAAAATAATTTATAATGACAACAACTCTTAGAAAGCCCTCACAGGATGACTATGAGTAATTCCAAATCATGTATGGGTAATCATGACACAGGGAGGGACAATCTGTTATGTGTTGCACATGGGTTTGTAGAATTACAACAAACAGAATCCCAGTCCTTTCCTGGTCCCTCAGATTAAAGAGAAAACCCACCTAATTGTCAACAGGGAAATGCAAAATCTGCTTCTGCATGGCATGCAAAGGTAATGCCAAATTAAGTCCATGTTGCTATCAACTGTAAAGTTACTGCTTGAAACAGGCTTAAAATCAAGCAGCTGAAAGAGTGTTACAGATTTCCACAGAAAACTGGAAGGTGGATTGATTCAAGACTCACAATAAGCCTTTTTTACTTCAAAAAAAACAGATGAGGCAACGAGTGATTGTAATTGTATCCAAGTTACCCCATTCTGCTTTTTACCTTCTAGTACTCAATACACAGCAGTTAAGCAAAATGTTTGCTTGGAAAAATGTGTGTCCTTTTTGACTTGTCTCTCTTTGGTCTATGTACTGCATGTTCTCTCTCTAATCATCAGCTCCCACAAATGTTTGTCTCTCAGTTCTGCTGACTGAGACAACAAATAGCACACAGTATAATTTCATGGTGGAGAAAAAAAAAAGTGTTTTGTATCCTAAAAACACCCTGTTTTCACTGTTTGGGTTTTTACATAACTAAATATTCAGTAAGTGCTCAGCTAATGCCAGTGTATCTTATGAAGCAAGGAAGAAGAAACATTCTCTTCAATAATAGCAATAACAATAATATAATAAGCTCATACCATATTTATCTACATTTTACATTCAAATGCCTTTACTCTGCTGCCCATAACTTATTTTACAGCTTTCTCTACATCGATAAAAAGCACCACGAGGAACCTGCAGAACTATTTTCTTTCCTCTTCTGTGGAGATGATCATGTCTGCTGAGTCACTGCCCTTAAACTTACAAAAAGATATACCAGTATCACATGCTGGAATATTAATCCTGGTATCCTGCAATCATCAATGGTAGCAGGAAACTCACACTTTTTCAAAATGTGGAAAAAAGCCGAGGGAAAAAGGTAAAAGTCTGAAAAATAACATCCCTCTAAGTACATCATAATAAACAGCTGCATTTGTTTATACAAAAAGCCTTTTTCTTAGAAGTAAAAATGCAGGTTTTAGATGGCAAAGGAAATTTAATAAGTGTGCCTCCTAAAAGCTGGCATCAACCAAATAATGCTTTAAAAGGAGCTTAAGGAGTTATATGATGTATTTGGGAAGAGAAATAACATACCTTTCTCCCTAACAGGTTTCCTCATGAAACTGAGGGAACAAAAATCAGGTAATTTCTCTCCTGAACTGCAGGAACTTCTTTTTCCAAATTTTTCTCCAACTTTGAAAGGCAGAGACATTGTGAACCACAAAAAGCAGCAAGAGAGAGTGAAGGGGATGAAGAGACATTTCACATAGTACACTCTCATCTCATATCCATCTATCTATGCTCCCTTCCCTTTCTCCTTTTCTCACTGTTCTCAGTGATTTTGTACACAGATTTGATACTGAAAAATGCAGGAGTCAACAGGCATTACCTTCACTCCCACTTCACATGAATTCAGCTACACCCACAACTTCTACAGATTTTCTAGTCAACAATTAATAAAGTGAAGAAAAAGCAGATTTTATCCAAGAAACACGTTTTCATGCTTTTTAAGATAAAACTGCTAATATAAAAATAATGCTTAATAGGAAAAGCTGGTAACAACCCCATGTGCCAGCTGTGTGAAAAATAACTCAAGAAGTTACTGTGTAAGTTCAGGACTGTGTCAGATCTGTGGTCTAACTCTACATTTCAAAAGTGAATCAAAGCTTTTTATAAACAGCAGTTCACTCTCCCATTACCTCCTTGAGATGTGTATTATGTGCATTGGTTCAACAAATGGAAATTTTTCCCAGTAGTGGTTTGTATTTCATTGCAACCATTTCACCCAAACTATTAAAACCAGAGATTTTAATTTCACTCTGTAATCCTTCCAGCATTTACTGGCTTTGGACGGAGTGGACAATCCTATTTTGTAAATACTGGGATGCACAAACAGGTTGGATCCTAACTGTATAAATCAGTCTAATCACAACACAGGACCTGAATGATAGGGAATGTGGCCATTTAGCATTGCATATGAATGAGAATTTCCCAAATCTGCTGTACTCTGGCTTGAAGAACTATGTGGCTGCATTTAAGTTATAAGATTGGGTTACAATCCAGCAGAGAGACTTGCAGAAGAAACAGACAACAAACCTGCAAAGATCTTCCTCTTGCCAGGAATTTTCTCCACAAATCAGACTCCTGATGTTCTCCACTTTTTCCACTCCTGACTGGCCAGAGCCTTTGATCTGTACTTGGGTTTTGGCTTTTGATCTGGGATTTTACCCGAGGCCAATCTCTACAGAGATAGATGTTTTCTGGGTCTCACAACACGTGCCTGACTGGGGCACTACTTACAACAGGCAGAACACAGCCTTGCACACTCTCAGACCTGACCTGTTCTTTATAAACCCAACAAGGAGTGGCTGGGTTCTCTCTGCTGTGCAAACTACACGGCCATCAGAACAGGTGAGTATTTTACCATCATTAGCTGATAAACAGGCCACACTACAGCTCCTCACTACACCAGTGGGGTTATTGCTAGGACTAAGCACTGCCACAAATGTTTCTAAGATCTTCCCAGAGTATAATGGGAAATATACTTGGTCACCTCAATCTTGGCAAAAACCTGAAGAAAATCTTTACTCCAAGTGGTAGGTTTACCTGTAGGCTACAGGTAAGAGATAGCTTAACCTAAAGTAAGAAAAGTACAAATCAGACTGTTGCTTTTGTTACAGTGAAACATTAAGCACCATCTCTTTTCATAGTTGCAGTAGCTGAATTTATTCTGAAGCAGCAACAACTGATTCTCCTCTAAAATCGGTATTTCTATTTTATGGAGTGGTTTAGTACTAAATCTCATGCATCATAAATAAGTCTCAGACAGTTGATAATGATCTCATTTTTTATTCAACCAGAAGTAGTACGCCACAGTGATGGAATTATATTTTGTAATTGGATTACAGCAGTAGTAGTTAAAATATACAATTGGGGTGAAAAAGAAAGAGATGAAAAATTATGGCCTTACTCCTTGGGTTTATATAGAGCAGGCAGATTGTCATCCTGTCACAAAGCTGTTAATATTATCACTTAATTAACTAATGCTAGTATTTCCATAATGAGTTTTAAACAGTCTGATGAGAAAATTATACAGCTTACATATGATGCTGGTATAAAACACACAGAAAACATTAATGTAAAGATTTAGATGCTATCGGGTTTCTGGAGGCAAGTGTAAGATGAGAAATAAAGTCTATAACAGTCATACCTAAATCTCCAGCAGATTTGATGTCAATATTATCAAAACCACTGCCAATTCGGACAATTATTCGAAGTGCTTTAAATTTCTCCAGGTCTTCTCGAGTTAAAGTGATAGTGTGATACATCAGTGCACCCACTGCTTCATTTAGTACCTACAAATAAAACAAGAAAAAATACTTATTTCATTTTTTTTCTTTCATAACTTAATCACATATACATAGTTTCAGGTATAAAAAGACTGTAAAAGCATTAAATCCAGTTTTGTTTTGTTTGTTAGAGGTTATTTCTCTAAATATCTTTCAGACTCCTGGTAAGTCTTTTTCATCTGATGTCTCCTTTCTAGCACGATGGGATCAGCTTTGGAAGAACTAAGTGGCCTGTATTCTGCTCTTATTAAGAGGGAAAACTCTTCTCATTCCACAGGATATGCTCTGCTATACCAGGCCTTACATACAAGTGCCACTGGACTGCATCTGCACACTCAGATGAAGCACAACACGGGAGCAAACAGTCCCTGCAAACAGTAAGTATTTTATGCTCAGGCAGCTGACATTCAGCTCTGAATGCAGTTACAGAGCAGTATCTCTTTACCACACACACACAGGGGCTACAGGTATTCACTGAGCTATTAAACCACTTGATACCTGAATAGAAAACATTCAGTGATCATTACAAACCCCTTCCTCAACAGAGACTGAAATCTGTCCATTAATATGTAAGAACAAAAGCATTTGCCCCTCAGTTTACTGATACTGCAACCAAGCTCTCACTGAAGGAAAACTGGATGTCATATGATTTGGTATTAACTGAGATACCAAAGCTGACATTATCCAGAAAAAAATCCAAAACTTCTGAGAAACAAGAAATTGCAACAAAGAAAAAATGTTGCAAAGAGACCACCAAAAAAGCAAAAATAAATGATATTCAGACCCTGAGACGTTAAGTTAGGTTAGAGTGCATCTAACTTACTCAAGAGCGCTCAAGAGAAAGGGGTGTGGAGAAGGGGATGGGAGCCACACATGCCCAGCAGTTTCAACTGTTTTCACTGCATCCTACACAGCTGATACAAGTTTATTTTTCAGAAAGCAGAGAATATTTTCCTCTTTATATGCAAACTGGGGGATTTCACTTCTTCAAAACACCTCTCTCTGCTTCTACCTTCAATGCATGAGCTAATATCCTAATCATTCTACGAGACACAAAACATGCACAAATCATTTCAGTAGCTAAGCCAGCTGTAATGACTTCAAGAGATTCCTATGACACACTTCACAGGAAAGTTCTGCAGAGGCTCTAAATTTCTCATTCAATAGACTTTTAGGTCTGGTACATGTACAGATTCTGTCATCTGAATTATTTCTGCTCATATGAGCATTTCCTAGTGTACTGCAAGGTCAGCAACAATAATCAACGTCAACACACATACTTTTAAAAACACTATTGCAGCAAAACAGTCTTGCACTCAGAGGATTACAACTGTTGGAACTCAAGATCTGCAGCAGTAATGTTTGAAATTAAAATCTACAAAGAAAAAATTTTTAAAGAAATACCAAACTCCATAAAAATGAAAGAAAAGCACTTCTTACTGAATACTTCACAAAATTATTTATGCTATTTCGACATGTGTTTCTGGACTGGGAACCTCAGTTCTACGTCAGATAAAGGCCAGAATCCTTTGAGCAGAATTTGCATTTACTAGTTAGAGTAAGAACTGCAAAAAAAATTACAAATTACACATCCTTAAAGAACGCAGCTACAACATAATTCAAAGACCAGCTGTAGGCTCTGATCTTATGAAACGATTACACACACAGAGAACTCCTTGATTTTAATGTTACAGTTAAGTCCTTTGCAGATTACATCTATCAGTCCCCAATCAAAAAGACTGCATTCATCAGGATGTGCTACCTTATTACAGGGTTAATAAAAACCTAAAACAGTTTATTGGTTTTGCTTCTCCAGTGACACTACAGTTGGCATGGACCAAGCCAAAGGTCATGTCTGAGGCAGCCTGCACAAGAAAAAGTCTCTCTCAGAACCTGAATGCCCACCTAAAATGACCTTAGGTTATTTTTGGTCCAAACAGAGCCTAAAAAAAGTTGTTAAAAAATCTCCCAGTTTCAGTGATAGGGAAATTTCTTCAAACTCAGTTGCAGCACCTGTTACTTCAAGCCTCAAGGTCCTCGAGTTCTTCATGATATTCTGGTTGTCTCCAATGAGCCATGTCCTCTATTCTGTGTTGTATCACATATACTTTCCCCTGCCCCTCCAAGGTTGCTCTGGATGGCTGTGCTGCAACATCCTCTGTGTAGTTGTAAGATAAACAAAACCTGAAGAAGCTTAGAACTTTTGAGGACACCCCTAAGGCTCTTGTGACAGCCACACCCTCCTCTCCCAGACTGGAAAAGGCCAGTGGTGTGTTTTGTGGGTACAGAGCTGTCACTGCTTTAAGGACTGCATTTATCAGGGCTAAAAGACAGCTGAAGCAGCTCAGACATTTATGTTTTAAAATCAGAGTGTTTCATTGGGGAAGCAGCTTTTCACTTCATAATCATGCATATTTTATTAACTCAGCCAGTCAAGACCATCATTTGGACTCTAAGAGCACCAGTCTGGACCCATCACACCACATTTTTGGGACCGTCTAGGTTATGGCTTGGCACTTGGAGGAGACAGAAAAGTATTAGAAAGCTTGGGAATGTGCTCAATAAAGGAAAAATATTTCCTAGCTATGGCTTAATGCTGGCACTTTCCATTTCCACAGGCGGTTATTTACCCATCATATGGGATATGGAACAAACAGATGCAAATGACAAACCCTTTAGAATTTCTTTTTGGTGACTGAGTCTCTCCTATGATTATGGACTAGTTAGCAAGGAAATCCACTGCAGCAAATATAATACTCTGCAAGTGTGTATTGCATCACATTAATTTGATAATTTAATTATGTTACTGCTTTTTGCAACTGGCAAAAATGCTGAAAAGGCAGAAAATAATACCAGAAAATGTGAAGTTAGAAACAATCAGATTGGTGAATGTTAATAATGCCACTTAGAGACTAAAACAATAGTGAAAGTTTCCGTATTTTGGAATTATTTGCATAAATTGTATTTTCAGTCATTACATATATTAAATGCACACAAGGAATTTTGACAAGCTCGGCAATATATAAAAACAAAACTTGGCCTAAATCTGAATATAAAACACAAAACTTAAATCCAGCACAAATGTCAAGAGTTCCAGAAAATTAAATAATCTTTAGAAAAAATAACTGCATAGGGGCAATTTACTGATAATTTAACAGAAGTACTCCCAGTGGTGGATGGATGAGAGAAACAGGGAGTAGAGGGTTTTTTCATTCATTTTCTGTAACAAACGATGGAAAAAACTTTTACCAAGTTCTAGTACAATTTCATTACAAAGATATCGACTTGTGTCACTTTGAGTGAGATAACAATCCAGGCAAAAATTCCAGATCAGCCCAAGTATGCCAGACAACACTCTCATGATCACTCACAAGGAAATGCAGGGGGCAAAACCTGAGAGAGAACAAGCAGAGTCAGCTGTGCTCCTCCAACAGCCACTGCTGCTTTTATCACACTGCAACTGTGCTCTTTGGGAAGACAAGATCAGAGACAAAAGCTGAAACACAGGACATAAGTTACTTTTGTAATCAAATAATTACGTAGCTGATCTGCCCCATTTCTGTGCCTTCTGACTTCCTTCCAGGTAAAGCTACAGCTGGTTGAAAGCCCCTTCCAGAGTCTCTTCCACGAGGTGACAGCCTCTCCAATCTCAATGGCTTGGACAGGTCTTTCTGCTGTTCTTCAACCCCAAAATGACTACTCTGCTTTCACAACATGCCAGGTCCCCAAGGCTCTTAGGGAACAGATGACACTGCAGTAGGAGACATTTCTATTTCCAAGAATTTAACAAATCCTGAGTACTGATTACCAAAGGCTGAAATCCTTTTTAAACATCTTCCTATCTAATTTTTTCCACCTTCTTTCAGCACCAGACTGTTTTAGCCATCATGCAAAATATCACATGGTCACCACTGCAACACACATGCCTCATTATCTGGGGAAGAACTCTTAGTATCTTGTTTACTTTTACAAAAAAAGTAACATATTGTAACATGCTAAGAATCAAACAGCAAGGCCTCTTTCTTTGAGTATCTAAAAACATTTCTAGATTTGACTATGAGAGACTGATTTCAGAAGCTTGTGGATCAAACCTAGAGCACAGAAACTAACAGTACATAAAATGCCAAAGTACTTCAACACAGAGACAGAAAATATCTATAAATTACATATTGACTATGATAAGGTATCATAATTGTAAAAATCAACTTCCAGAAAGATCATCACTAGAAAGTGCTATATTTCATCTGGTTCTAGAAACTACAGGGTATTGCATTTCTTGGAGTTTGATGTGTCATCTCCCAAAAAAAAACCCCACGTTCCAGTGTCACCAACAGACTTGAGGTATTTTGCACATTTGGGTGGAAAAAAATGTACTTTACCAAAACTGAGTAGGTCTTGCCTTATTTAACTTGCAAAAAGCAGCTGCACATTGAATTTGTAACCAGTAGTCTGTCACGCAGGGAAGGCTGCAGAGACTTGTAGCTGCTCTCAAAGCCTCACTACAGCATTGCCAAGGGCCCATGTGAAACTAACAGCATTCAAAGTAAAAAGAAAAGCCAGTATGCTCCAGGGGTATTTAGGAGCTCTGCAGAACTCTGCTGGATTGTGCTGCTTTATACAAGTTCCTGCTTCTCTTTAGGAGACTCTCAGCTCCCTGTTAGGTTCCTATGATGCATGGTGCTGTCAGTAACCCACCCATTCCATGTGCACTTTATTCAGCCAGGATACTGCCTAGTGAGAAACCTAAATACTAATACTTAAGTTTGTACTGTACATAAATACAAGGATAAATATTTTACACAAACATAAAAGAAATTTACCTGCAGGCTCCTAAAAACACACTCTCTCTAAAAACCTATATATCCATACACTGCATAAACTACATATATACACACAAGACATGTATATATGATAGTGTATTTCTAGCCTTCTAAAAATAAATTATTAAGAGTATATACATACAAATACACATACAACTACAAAATAACCTGCAGAGCCTACAGCAA